ACGACCCTTTCGTGGTCTCTGGGGGGCATGCCCGAAACCCAGAACCAAGACCAAAACCCTGGAGCAAGAAAAACAGAGAGAGAGAGAACAAAACATTGTGAAATATGAGTATATGAGACTGTAGACGTCAGGCTTTAAGGTTTGGGCGATGGGGACCCTAAACCTTAAACCCTAAACCCTAAACCCTAAACCCTAAACCCTAAACCCTGAATTGGAGTTTGCTCCCAGGTGCGCTCCGTCTCGCAAGGCACGGCATCCTCGTCCCCCCTTGCTTCGATCACCTCACCCGTGTAAGCAGCTACAGCCATCTGGGCGCTGCCTGTGACCAGCCGACCCTCTCCTTACGTTTGGGGTTTAGGGTTTAGGGTTTAGGGTTTAGGGTTTAGGGTTTAGGGTTTAGGGTTCAGGGTTCGGGGTTTTACTGGGTTTAGGGTTTTGGGCCTCTCTTGACTTGGTTTTTGGACTTTTTCTGCACTAGAGCCACTCATTTCCGAGCATTTAGGGTTTCAGCTTTAGGGCTTGGGGTTCAGGGCTTAGGGCTCAGGGTTTTACAGGGTTTAGGGTGTAGGGCTTACGACGTAGGGACTAAACCTAGGCTGCCATGGCAAGGATATGTAAAAACAGTGTAGTCAAGTAAATCATGGGTTATATTAAACTCTAACCCTAAACCCTAAACCCTAAACCCTAAACCCTAAACCCTAAACCCTAAACCCTAAACCCTAAACTCTAAACCCTAAACCCTAAACCCTAAACCCTAAACTTCAACGGCAGCCCAGTCTCCAGCGATCTTGCTCATGAGGTTCATCAGCTGCTCACCAGATACCTTCTCCTCCTGCATCAGCTTCTTCGCAAGCCTTGGTAGCCCAGCATATAGCCATATTCTAAATAAGGGCACCCTTTTTGGGGTTGGTTATTTTATAAAGGAAGCCAGAACCCAAAAAGAAAGCGTAAAGGGTACCACTGGGCTGCCAAGAAGCTCATCCAGCAGGTACATGTTGTCCCGCAGCATCTTCATGCCACGCTGGTACTGCTCATCGACGATTCGCTTGATCTCATCATCCACCTTCTACTAATTGGCTAAGAACCTCCCAAAAAACAAAAGTGCTATTCCTTATAAGGGTAATACAGGGATCATTCTTCTTTATTCTTGGGGGGGCTCTTAAGCAAATAGTAGCCTTCTGCTTCAGCATCTGCGAGATGGGAGGAGCACTCTGTCCCGTAGGGCCAGGCTGCTGATCTCCGAGGAGTCGCTGCCCGATCTCTGGGGACATGCCCAACGACATCCTTAAGGACCATACCGAACCGTAAAATTGGGGTTTCAGGTTTAGGGTTTAGGGTTTAGGGTTTAGGGTTTGGGGGTCCTGTGTTCCCTATACTACTACAATCCCTATCAATGGTATCTGAACCATAAACCCTTTTAGGGGCCCTATGAATGGCATCTGAGCCATGAACCCTTTAAGGGATCATTATAGGTCCCCCAAGGCTCACCATCTGCTTGGCCACCTGCGTGCACTGCTGGAAGTCGTTAGAGGCGCCGGTGGTGACGTTGTCCTTGCCGTTGACGATCTCCTCGGCCAAACGCCCACCAAGCGAAACGCACATGCGATTCTCCAGGTACTCCTTCGAGTAGAGGCCGGAGTTCAGCCTTTCCTTCTGTCTATTCTTGGAACCCCGGAAAAACTGTCTGCCCGTGTTCCCTTAAGAATGAGAGCCAACAGTCTCAGTACAATCTATTCTCAAGAATGGTCCAGTTGCCTCTGAGGGCATGAAGATCGTCACGCCGCCAGCTGGCCCACGGGGAACTATGCTGACCTTCGACACGGCATCATAGTCCTTCACCTTGGTAGCCCAGTAACCCTATCAAAATAAGGGCACCCTTTTTTGGGGTTGGTTACTTTATGAGGGAACTCAGAACCAGAAAAAAGGGAAAAGGGCACCACTGGGCTACCAAGTCACCAGTGCACCCAAGATGGCATGACCGGCCTCGTGGTATGCCACCAGCTTTCTCTTCTGCTCGGACATGATGCCGTCCTTCCTCTCCTAGGTTGCCCAGTAGCCTAGACTAAAAACCCCGTTTTAGGTTAAAGGGGTTTATAAGAGATACCCCCAAATGGGGATTAAGGGCACTACTGGGTATCCTAGTCTCCAGGCCGATGGTGATGCGCTCCAGCGCGCTGAGCAGGTCGTCCGTGTCGATCTCCGCCTTGTTCTGGCGCGCGGCCACGATCGCGCCCTCGTTGAGCAAGTTGGCGAGGTCAGCCCCAGACATACCTAGTTCATGGTCGGGATCGAATGAAAAAGTTAAAATTTCTACTCCTTATTGAGTTCAAGTACCCTTTAAAAATCTATGATGTTACCAGGCTATGACAGAGGTGCCCGGTGTCTGCCGGGCGATAGCCTCGAGGTCGATGCCGGCCGCAAGATTTTTGTCCCTGGCATGGACCTTCAGAATTTCGGCTCGGCCTTGAACATCGGGAGGATCCACCTGTGGCAGTGTGTTCGTCTTGCTGCTGGCCATTAAATAGGGGCCTTAATAATTAGAAGAGGTTTTTTTTTTTTTTTTTTTTTTTTTTGGGGGGGGGGGGGTATTATAGTATAGTTCTAAAAGGACCATAGAGAAATTACTAGTCCCTAAACCCGAAACCCTAAACCCTAAACCCTAAAAGGCCGACCTGGATCTGGCGGTCGAATCGTCCCGGACGCACCAGGGCTTGATCCAGAATGTCGGCTCGGTTGGTGGCCGCGATCACAACCACGCCTTACTTCTCCAAGAACCAAAGGGAAAAAAGGTTTAGGGTTTAGGGTTTAGGGTTTAGGGTTTAGGGTTTAGGGTTTAGGGTTTAGACTTCAAGATTCCTGCTAAATAAGGAAACCCAAAAAGTTTAAAGTTCAACTAAAGGCGAAGCAAGACGCCCTTGTTGGCCTCGAAGCCATCCATTTCCGTCAGCAGCTGGTTCACTGTTTGCTCACGCTCATCGTTGCCCTGGCCGAAGCCCGCACTGCGCTGGCGACCGACAGCATCAATCTCGTCGATGAAGATGATGCAAGGGGCCGACTTCTTTGCCTGCTCGAAGAGGTCGCGAACACGCGAGGCGCCAACCCCTGCGTAGATCTCGACGAACTCGGATGCGGAGATGCTGAAGAAGGGAACACCCGCTTCGCCGGCCACCGCCTTTGCCAGAAGGGTCTTTCCGGTACCTGGCGGCCCAACGAGCAGAGCACCCTTAGGGATCTTGGCGCCGAGCTCGGAGTAGCGCGAGGTGTTCTTCAGGAAGTCGACGACCTCCACCAACTCCTGCTTGGCTCCATCACACCCAGCCACATCCGCGAACTTGGCCTTGGTGTCCCCGTCCTTGATGATTCGAGCCTTCGACTTGCCCAGCTGGAACAGCTCCAAAGGGCTGCCTCCTCCGATGCCACCGAAAAGGAGGACTAGATTCGCGATCAGCCAGGCGATGGGTCCTGCAAAGCGAATCAGGAAGTCAAAAGGCCCCATGTTGGCCCCGGGCTTCTGCATCATCACCTCTACCTGCTTCTCCGCAAGGGTGTTGAACATCTCGCCCTCGATTTGCTTATTGGGAATCAAGTTCACCTCATGACGAGCGCCGTCCTTGGTGGTGTACTGAGCAGAGAGCTGCTTTTCCTGGACCTGCACCAGCTCCACGTCACCACGGTTCACGGACTCCATGAAGTCGGAGTAGCTCACCACATCCTCAGCCATAGCAGGCTGAAGATTGACGCTGTACGTCAACAGGAGTGACGCGGCGGCGCCGGCGGCCCAGCGCAGCTGCTTCGCAACGCCTCCTTGCAGGGCCTCGCCGGCCCCTGCTGCAACCTCTGCGAAGGCCCGGGCGGCCGGTGCCGAGAGCACTGCGCGGTGGAGCTCCGCAGAGGCAAAGTGTTGAAGCTGCTGCACCAAACGAGTCATCTGCCGTGGCTCCGGCTGCCTGAGAAGCTGCTCGGCCAAGGCCACGAGCTCCGAGAGGCCTTCGCGGCCATCCTGGGCACGAGCCAGAGGTCTGCTGCGCTCGGCCGCGCTGTGCTGGGCCGCGCTGCGCCTGGCCGCGCTGCGGCGGGCGCCCAGGGCGGCGACTGCGCCCAAGGCCACGGTGCTGGCGCCTGTGGCTGCCATGCTCTTGGCCTGGTCGCTGGAGGAAGCGGCTCCGGCGACCTCGGAGACCTGGGCGTGGCTGCCACTCGGCAGTTGCCGGGCAGCCTGATTGCCGCAAGGGACGAAGCCTTCGTAGCCCAAAAAACCATCTTACAATAAGGGCCCCCTTTTTTTGTAGGTTAGGTTAGTCTATAAGGGAACCTTGAACCAAAAAAGTATAAAGGGCACCACTGGGCTACCAAGACGCTGGGAGCCGCCAGGAGGACCGCAGCTGCGGCGCCGGCAAGAGCTGTGCGGCCCCTCGCGCGCGCCATCTTGCTTACAACCGCCATGTTTCTTTGGCACTTTGTACAAATGAACTGGCTCGTCTCACTTTGTGTGCTGAGCGAAAATTGGCTTGAGCCAAGCCCGCCGTTCCACACGATCGCACGCGCAACAACCCGAACCCTCAAAACTCTAAAGCCCTAAGCCCTCTCGGGGGGGCTAAACCATGCATGTTCAGGGTATACGGTTTAGGGCGTAGCCCTAAACCCGAAACGTCTGTGATCGACGCTCTTCGTGAAGGAGCTTCCGTGCGCGCGACGTAGGGACGCACGAGCCCCAAACCCCAAACCCCAAACCCCAAACCCCAAACCCTAAACCCTAAACCCTAAACCCTAAACCCTAAACCCTAAACTAAACCGCAAAGCGCAGCTGATAAGCCTGACAAGCCCTTCAAGCCTTACGAGCCATAGAAACGCCCCCCTGGAGGCACCCCGAGGCCCTGAACCTCAAACCCTAAACCCTAAACCCTAAACCCTAAACCCTAAACCCTAAACCCTAAACCCTAAACCCTAAACCCTAAACCCTAAACCCTAACCCCCCCCCCCCCTCCTCACCCCTTCCAGGCCTGCGAGGGTGTTGCCTCCGGAGGAAGGGCCTTCGGGACTCAGATGGGGTTTCGGGTTTCGGGTTTAGGGTTTAGGGTTTGGGGTTTGGGGTTTAGGGTTTTCGGGCTTAAGGGTTTGGGGTCTTGGGGTTTAAGGTCTGGGGTTTAGGGTTTTGGGGATTTGAAGTTTGAGGTTTCGGGCTGAGAGTCTTGGGATTAAGGTTTATGATTTCGGGCTTGCGGCGACGTTCGAGCAGTAGTTACTGTTGGTTGAGATTTAAATGGGCTTAGGGCTTGGGCAGCTGTGGAATTCAGGGTTTAGGGCTTATGGTTCAGGGTTCAGGGTTTAGGGGGTTTGCCTGAATGGTGGAACCCCTCAAAGCCCCTTTGCGCATTTCCTAGCGTGCCTCAGATATCTGGGCATTCCACCGCACCAGTTTACCTGAAGACCCACACCCTAAACCTAAAGCAAGGGAACTAAAGGCTAACTTCTGTGAGTCTACAGAATTGTAGAACCTACTCGCACCGGGTCTCTCAGCATTCGGGATGTCGTTATGTTTGGAAACTTCGGGGCTTTTGGTTTGGGTTTTGGTGGCGTTTAGGGCTTTAGGAAATTGGTTGGTTGCTTGAGGCTAGAGCCCAGTGGGCGTGCTCTCAAATTCTAATTGCAAACTTGGCAAGGGAAAGGCCAAGACGATAGCACAGAAATCATTCGGGATGCTCATCAGGTGTATGTAATGTACTCAGCCCTGGGGCGGATAGTTTCCGACGGAGGAACAGTCGTCTCACCCCTGAACCAACAAAGCCCCCGCATGAACGACCACGAAGGGGCCTGAGCAACACAAAAGGCTACGGCACTCACAAAGCTTACTGGGTTTAGAGTTTAGGGTTTAGGGTTCAAGGTTTAGGGTTTAGGGTTTGGGGTTGTTCTTCTCAACCCCCCGTGGTTCCTTTATGAGTGAAACTGGAACCAAACAAAGGGCAAAAGGTACCACTGGGCTACCACGTGTTACCCTCAGGGCTTTAGGGCATTCGAGTTGGGGGGTTGCGGCCTGTGGGTTTAGGGTTTAGGGTTTAGGGTTTAGGGTTGAGGGTTGAGGGTTTAGGGTGGATTAAGAGTGGTTATGGCATCAAGGATTTTCGGCGCAGGGCCTTGGGGGCTTAGAGCTTTGGGGGTTGGGCTTTGAAGAGGCTTCCGGATTTTGGGTTTGGGGCTTAGGGCTTTCGGGCTTTAGGGGTTGAGGTTTAGGGCTTCAGGATTTGATTTGGGGCTTCAGGGCTTTAGGGTGTAAGTAGGATGTTAGCGCTTCCGATCTTAACAATACTCAGAAGCAGGCCGATGTTGCCACGTCGACGTAGCCGTCATCATCGGGCTCCTTATTCTGACACATCCTAAACCATAAACTACTATTTGCTTAAGAGCCCCCCAAACATTGAAAAAAAAACAATACAGAGAACGGTTGTCCCGAAAGTTTTTTCGAGCCACGATTAAGACCTCGCATCACGCCATCCATCCATGCATCATTCATGACGACATCCAGCCCACCGGCCATCCATCAGGACATCCATCACGACATCGATAACGAAGAGCTTTCACGAAGACCACGCGCTATCCATCAGGACATCCATCACGACATCGATAACGAAGAACCTTCATGAAGACCACCTGCCATCCATCACGACATCCGTCACAGCATCCATCCATACATCAACGTTAACGAAAAACCTTCACGAAGACAACTCGCCATCCATCGCGACATCCATCACAACATCCACCCATGCATCAACGAAAGCTTCACGACACCCCAAGAACAGGCAGAGGGTTGTCGTTCGCGGACGAAGATGCGAACGCCTCCCGCGCGTCAGCGCGTTTTGTGGGCAGGTGCGGCGTCTCCCGCCAACCCTACCGGGTGCTTTCACGCATATTACCCTTAGAAGAGGGAATACTTAATTGACCCCGCCGACTTATCGACTTATAAGTACGTGATATGTGTGTGATATGTATCGATTAAGCTGTTTATCTTGGAGTTAAGTTTGTTTTATATAATTAAGTTCCAGATAAGTTCGACATTTTTTGCTTGACATATCTCGGACTTAGGAACTTATGCGTGTTATGTCAAACAAACTTATATAGAACTTATCTCTATTTATCTGTTTTACATTTTGGGATGTTGTTCCCGGGTTCGCGCATGCATCTCAGCTAAAACTGAAGAAATCGGTCTTGCAGCCCCTGCAACAGATATTCTATAGTTGCCTGGCAGCGTTAAAGCCTCCCCGGCCACCTCGGGACGCTTGCGTGCCTTGTCCGCCAGGTGTCCGCCAGGTGTCCGCCAATGTCCGCGACAATATAGGTCAAGCCCTGGCTCGCGGACGTCCACGTCCGCGCGGGGGATGTCCGCCTGCATGGGCTCATATAAACCCGGACCCCGCGCCGCTACCATCTGGCGTCGTCTGCTGTCCGCGGGCGTCCGCGAGCCGGTCCGCAAACAAAATGCCAATGTCCGCGGAGTTGGCCTGCTTTTTCCTTGTTTTCGCACGTTTTGTCTTGCCATGCTTGCAAGAAGCAAAAGGTCTCTCTGCAATTCTGGGCATATTTTTCTGCCATGCCTTAAGCTGTGTGCCCGCGTTGTCGAAAAAAAGGTGCTGTTCATGAAAACGATAAAAAAGCAAGCCTTCGAACTTATACACAACTTATCTCCTACTTAATCCGGACGTAAAATAAGTCCAACATAAGTTTCGAACAAGTTCATATGTTCCACGGCGTCAATATAGTATGTTTGTGGCTCTCGTTTTCTTTTGTTCGGGGGGGGCTTCTTAAGCAAAGAGCAGTAAGACTCAAACCCTAAAACCCTAAACCACATCTGCCTTCTTCCGCAGTTCATGATTAGGGTTTAGGGTTTCGGGTAACGGGCATCGTTCCAGGAATAGGGCTTCAGGATTGTGGGGGATCCAGAGTTGTTTCGGGTCTAGGTTGGGATCCCCCTTATACTAGCAGTCCTAAGGACTGTTCGTATGGGGGGGGGGGGGGGAACATCCCAAGGTGTAGGATGTTGGGATTTCCAGAGCTCAAGAATACTCAGAAGCAGGCCGCTGTTGCCAGGTCGACCCAGCCGTCATCGTCTGGCTCCTTGTTCTGACACATCCTAAACCTGAGGGGTATCAGGAGGGACCCTAGCAGGAACCCTTTATTTTATTACCCCAAGAAGACCCTTATACATATGTATATATTTATATACACACCATATATAGTCCAGTCCCTGTAAACATAAAAATGAGAATCCCTATATTACCCCTTGTAAAGAAGTGTGTATATATTTTTTTTTTGGAGGGGGGGGCGTCTTAAACAAAGAGCAGCAAACCTGAAACCTAAAACCCTAAACCACATCCGCCTTCTTCCGCAGCTCATGATGAGGGCCTTTAGGGTTCCGGGCAACGGGCATCGCTCCATGAACCTGAGACCCTTACTAGCCCGAACGCGGGCTTGGCGCTTATAGAGCATTCGCTTCCGGCGCACTTGGCCTAAGGGGGCTTGACTCAAATGCTTCACGAATTAGACTCGCGCAATCAACAAGAAGAAGATGCTTCGCACACAAGTGACAAGACTCGCCGCACATATGCAGAGGAACCAGCAGCGCTCAATTTTCTTTTGGAGACGCGGGGAAACTCTTCCTGCGCTCCTCTTCTCTACTCTACAGTGACTCTACAGGCGTACAAGCAGCCTATATGCGTAGCCCCGGCACAGGGCGTTGCAGCCGCCGGGGCGGACCCTAGAGCCGGGGCCACCTTCACCCCGAGTGGGAGGGTGGGCGCAAGAAAATTCTTCCTTAAGACAAGAAGCCTCTGCGAATGAACGTGAATCAGTGGCAACTAGCTCACGTGAACTTGCTACCTGCCTTTCTGACCAGAGCATTGCAACGCACGGCACACAAGCCACTTCGGCCCGTCCACACAGGTGGACTCACAATGCGTCTCATGTGAAGGAGTTATCAGTCTGCTACGCGCCATGACGACACTCCGCCTAGCTGACGCACCAACAGCCCGCCTTTGGAGCACCCTAAGAAGATGTTGTTAAGAGTTTTGTACGTCGAACATCCCCACCTTGACACTTTTTGGATCTTTAAGGGATTTTGGACTTCCAGGGGGTTTCAGGGGCTTAGGTTTCGAGTTGAAAGCCTTCAGTTCTGAATCCACACTTAGATTTAGGGTTTAGGGTTTAGGGTTTAGGGTCTAGCATCTAGGGCTTAAGGGTTAAGGGTTAAGGGTTAAGGGTTTAGGGTTCAGGGTTCAGGGTTCAGGGTTTAGGGCTGCTGGGAGCTTGGGTGAAAAAGCAGGGCGCCCGGGTTTATTTGGGCGCTAGGGTTTAGGGAACGGTTGCTCCCGCCTTAGGATGCCAGTGGGCAGGGGCAGCAAGGGCGTGGCGGGGAAGGGATTTAGGGGTTTAGGGTTTCGGGTTAGGGGTTAAGGGTTTAGGGTTACAGAAAGAGCAAAACCAGTTCAGGGAAGGCCCACGGGGGAGAAGGGGGGGGGGGGGGGGGGGGGGGGCTGCAGTGGCGGAGGGATGGCCTCTCTGGATTTACTGATAGCGTAGAAGATTCATCCATCACATCCCAAGGACACGGTCGCTATGTTGGAGACCTACATGCCCGAAAGCTCTCAAAGCCTAAACCCCTTAAAACCCTAACCCTAAACCCTAAACCCTAAACCCTAAACCCTAAACCCTAAACCCTAAACCCCTCAAAACCCTGTGGAGCTCCTTCGCCCAGCGGTCGCCCTCGTGCCAGGAGCTGTGCCTGGGCCAACGCACTTGGAGTGTTGCAGAGTGGTTTAGGGTTTAGGGTTTGGGTTTAGCCTTCAGGGTTCAGGGTTCAAGGTTTAGGGTTTAGGGTTTAGGGTTTAGGGTTTAGGGTTTAGGGTTTAGGGTTTAGGGTTTAGGGTTTAGGGTTTAGGGTTCAGGTCATATTAGGCGTAGTAGGGGTTGGCAGGGCTTTCACTGACTTTATCAGGGCTGCACACAGGGCCTAGCCCTACAGCTTTGAGGGTTTGATGCGGATAACGAACCCTGAGCCCAAAACCATGTAGGGCTTTTCTGGTGTCAGGTGTTGGGTGTAGGGTTTTAAGGCGACTGGGCGTGGCTGGGCTGCTCCGGCTTAGGGTTTAGAGTTTAGGGTTTAGGGTTGAGGGTTTAGGGTGGCAGGGCCTAGGTATTGGGAGTTCAGAACTGGCTTGGGCGCAGAATTCCGAAGCTGTTCCGGCCCAGGGCGTGTGGGCTTTGGAGTTGCACCGCCTTTGCTATGTGTTGGGTCTTTGTTTTGGGATTCATTAGTTGGGTTGAGGGTTTTGAGCTCATGTGATTCTCACCTGAACCTGGACCCTAACCCCAACCCCTGAACCCCGAAACCTAAACCCTAAACCCCGAACCCTAAACCCAAGTCTTGGGTGGGAGGGGTTGGGGGAAGGCTTGCGGGCTTCCTGTGACATGTGTTGGAGTACCCTGTGTCCTAAACAGCCCTATCTGAGTTGTGTGTTTAGACCCTTTGAAATATACTTATGAATAGGTTCCATTATACGGAAAGAGGGGAACTCCACCCAAGTCTTTAGACCACTACTCCTAAATCTTAAGCCCTCGGACACGCTTTTTTTGGGGACATGCATGGAAACATGCAGCTTCTGCTTAGAGTGATTTCTGGACAGCCGCAGCATGCACGGCGGTTTGGGTTGTGGGCTTCCCTAAACCCTAAACCCTAGACCCAAACCCTAAACCCAAAAACCTGGTTTAGGGTGTCGGGTTTAGGGTTTTGGGCTCCCCAAACAAGGTACCAACCCTTGGCGCCGCACTGCCACCATCCACAGTCGGTGGATGCGGGGTCCTCAACCAAGGCGTACCCAGGCTCAGGCTTTGGGATCAACAGGGTTTAGGGTTTAGGGTTTAGGGTTTAGGGTTTAGAGTTTAGGGTTTAGGGTTTAGGGTTTAGGGTTTAGGGTTTAGGGTTCGAAGACGTCCAAGGCCCCAGTTCGAGAGAGTATCAGGTTTTCATGGGCCAGGGTGGGGGGGGGCGGAGGAAACCCCTAAACCCCCCAAAACCCCTCAGACCTTCACCCTTCAATACCTCTAAACCCCCGACACACCCAGCCTTCAAACCACTGAAGCCCACCTATACACTCCTGAAGGCACCGAAGCCCCCCCCCCCCCCCAAAAAAAAAAAAAACGTCTCCCGACAATCTCAACCTGGCGGACCAAACGAACCCTAAGAAGTGGGACCATATTCCCTATGCTACTAGAATCCTTCTTAGGGTAGACCCTCAACCCTAAACCCCAAACCCCAAGCCCCAAACCCTAAACCCCAAACCCTAAACCCCAAACCCCAAATCCTAAACCCTAAACCCTAAACCCCAAACCCTAAACCCTAAACCCCCCCCCCCCCAAGGAGAAGGGTGCGTGGTGGGGGCGGTGCGGCGCCTCTTCCGATGGCACCTCGGCCTTACCGGGCTGCCAGCTTTCCCAGGTCATCTCCTCGCGGGGGTTTATGGTTTAGGGCTGAGGCGTTTAGGAGGTATTAGGGTTGAGGATGGGTTAGGGTTTAGGGTTTAGGGTTTAGGGTTTGGGGTTTGGGGTTTAGGGTTTAGGGTTTAGGGTTTAGGGTTTTAGGGTTTAGGGTTTAGGGTTCAGGGTTCAGGGTTCAGGGTTTAGGGTTTAGGGTTTATTTCGGGCCAGTGCTTGTAGGCGTTTGGGGTGGGGTGGCTTCTGCATAGGCCAATGCATCGCTGCCTCATCAAGCTCAAGTTCGGGGCTTACTTGGAGGTTCATGGGGACTTATAGGGTTTAGGGTTTAGGGTTTAGGGTTTACCCTAATTGTAACCAGGCATATCTGTACTGATAAGCCTTCTACGTCCCCTATGTAGGTTATACGTAGACTTAAATTGGGGCTACAAGTACCCATGAACCTCCCAGTAGTGTGTGGGGTCTACGGTGTGGCGCCGGTGCGAGAACGAGGCATGTCCTGGACCGGACCCCGCAGCGAAAAGCGCTGGCGCCTTGGTGGGGTGGTTTAGGGTTTAGGGCTAAAGTTTAGGGTTTAGGGTTTAGAGCTTAGGGTTTAGGGTTTAGGGTTTAGGGCTTAGGGTTTAGGGTTTATGGTTTAGGGGTTGCTTAGGGTTTTGGGTTTACGGCCAGTTTCAGGGATAAGACGTATTATGGTTCATGAGGCCTTTCCAGGAGTGCCTGGCAGGTTGAAGATACTCCTCTGAAGGGACTCTGAAGCCCAGTATGGGGAAACAGGATTTGCCAAGGTCCTTTATAGAACTTGAACCCCAAAACGCCAAAAACCCCCACACTGACACCCTAAACCCTAAAACCCTTGAACCCCAAAACCGCACCCCCCCCCCCCCCCCCCCGAAACAGACACCCTAAACAATAAGCCCCTAACCCCCCCAAACAAACGCCCCAAACCCCCAAACCCGAAAACACCAAAACCCGCAAACCGACACCCTAAACAATAAACTCCCAAGCATACACTCCACACCCTAAACCCCAAAACCCCAAACAGACACCCTAAGACCTAAACTTCCAAACCCCCAAACAGACACCCTAAACCCCTACTGAAACCCCAAACCCCAAAACCCCGAAACCCCGAAACCCCGAAACCCCAAGACCCCGAACCCCAAATCCCAAAACCCCAAACCCCAAAACCCCGCAACCCCCCAAACAAGCACCACTCCAAAACCCCCGAACCGCCAAACCCCCCTACCCCCAAACAGACACCCTGAACCCCTAAACCCCAAAACCTCCCAAAGCCCTAAAAACCACCCTAAACCCTAAACCCTACACCCAACCCTAAACCCTAAACCCTAAACCCTAAACCCTAAGCCCTAAGCCCTAAACCCTAAACCCTAAGCCCTAAACCCTAAACCCTAAACCCTAACCCCCTCCGAAAGCCCTGGCGTTTTTAGGCCAGGCGGCGCCAGGTCCACGCTCTCGATGCGCAGGTGCTTGATTTCCTCGTGGGTTTGGGATTTTTTGGGTTTGGGGTTTAGGGTTTAGGGTTTAGGGTTTCGGGTTTAGGGTTTAATCCAAGGATTAGGGTGTCAGGTTTTGGTGGGGATGTTCCTCCTTACTACTAACAGCCCTAGGGATTATAATAGGGGGACTACGGTGGATGGACGAAATCTTGCACCACCTGTACATGCGTACTTCAAACGATTGAGGCATCAAGCCCCGCACCCCCCTGCTTAACATTGGCGGCCAGGACTACTTGAGTGGTGCAAGATTTCGGCCATTGGACCACATCCGGCCGGTAGTTGTTCACAGCCAATGTGAACAAGGGGGCACGGGAAACACAAAAAGACGTCTCTGAAAAGCGGTGCAAGGTTTTGCCCATCCACAGTATAACCGGGCTTTAGGGTTTGGGGTTGGAGATTTAAGGCTTAGGGTGGGGTTTAGGGTTTGGGATTCTGGGACTTGGGGTTTGGAGATCAGGGTTGGGGATTTAGGGTTTTAGGGTGTAGAGTTTTGGGGTTTTAGGGTTTTGGGATTTGGGGTTTTTCGGGTTTTGGAGCTTTTGGGTTTTTTGGGGTTTTAGGGTTTGGGGGTTCGTACCAGACGGTGAAAGTTCTCCTTGTCAGCAAGGGCCTTGGAGGGTGGTACTTGGAGGTTCGTGGCCATATAGGCTACCTTACCATGAACCTCTGAACCTGCAACCCTAAGCCCTAAAATCTGGGCTTGGCGCCCGCACCGCCTAGATTCCCCATTCTCGTACCCTGACCCTACAGGACGGTACCATCCCCCTCCCGCCTCTAACTACCCCACTCCCCTCCCCACAAAACCATTTAGGGCTAGGGTTCAGGGTTTAGAGTAAGCGTGTCTCAACTACAAAGCGATTAGACAGACCCTAGGCTTGCGTTTAAGGGACTGCGTCTCTAGGTCCAGTGCAGGTACCTCTACTACTCGCTTAAAACCCCCAAGAAAATATTAAAGGACAATCCCCATATTGCCCGTACAAGGAAGAATAGTTTTTCATCTTTGGGGGGGTTCTTAAACCCGAAGCCCTAAGCCCTAAACCCTAAAGCCTAAAACCTACACCCGGTACCTCCAAGATGCATCCCAGGGGCGTCCCCGACGCTCACCTCATCTTGCGACAGCGTGGACCTGTCGGCCGCACAGGAGCCACGAGGCGGGTGTAGGGTTTAGGGTCTAGGGTCTAGGGTTTAGGGTCTAGGGTTTAGGGTTTAGGGGTGTAGGGCTTAGGGGTTCTTACAAGACGACATCATGACCTGGGTTTAGGGTTTCGGGTGTAGGGTTAGGGTTTAGGTTTAGGGTACCTCTAAGCACGAAACTCTGAAACGATACACTTTGATGGCCGCAAGAGAAAGTTCAGACCCAAACCTGAGAAATAAGAAAAGGGCGAAGCAACCCCCTTCAACCCTAAATCGAGAGCCGGGTTTAAGGTTTAAGGGTTTGAACCCTCAGAGGGTTTAAGGGTAGCCTAAACCCTGAACCCTAAACCCTAAACCCTACACCCGTAACCCTTAAACGCTTATAGGAGTTTAAGGGCAGCTATGTGCGGGTGGCTCATTCTTCTCGATGCGGCGACAATGGGCAGCCCATAGCCTCTTTCGGGTTGCCAGGAGCTCGTCCAGAGGCATGGTAGGGTTTAGGGTTTAGGGTTTAGGGTTTAGGGTTTAGGGTTGAGGGTTGAGGGTTGAGGGTTTAGGGTTTAGGGTTTAGGGTTTAGGGTTTAGGGTGTAGGGTTTAGGGTTTAGGGTTTAGGGGGCCCAGGCCGAAGCGCCGTAGTACGCCTCGGCGTGTTCATCCTCCATGAGGGCGTGGGCAGTCTGCTCACGGAACTTCGGGGTGAACTGCGTCACCACAAAAGGGATCCTTGGGGTTTAAGGGTTTTAGGGTTTCAGGGTTTAGGGTTTAAGGGTTTAAGGGTTTAAGGGGTTTAGGGTTTAAGGGTTTAAGGGTTTAAGGGTTTAAGGGTTTTAGGGTTTAAGGGTTTTAGGGTTTAAGGGTTTAAGGGTTTAAGGGTTTTAGGGTTTTTAAGGGTTTAAGGGTTTAAGGGTTTAAGGGTTTAAGGGTTTAAGAGCATTCCCTGGTTTTTGCTTTTTTTGGGCGGGTTCCCTATTCGAACATAACCCGCATACTCAAGAAGATCTTCGGTAGAGCTCGGCAGTCATCATGCCAGTGCTCTCCCCCTAAACCCTAAACCCTAAACCCTAAACCCTAAACCCTAAACCCTAAACCCTAAACCCTGAACCCTAAACCCTAAACCCTAAATCCTAACCCTAAACCCTAAACCCTAAACCCCAAGCCCTAAACCCTAAACCCTAAACCCTCCAGGGCTCTCCGCCCCGGCACTGAAGCCGAAGAGGCCCCCCGAGTCCCGATGAGACCCTGGCTTCGACCACGGAAGGAGGCCTCGGGCTTCTTGGGTTTTGGGTTTAGGGTTTAGGGTTTGGGGTTTAGGGTTTGGGGTTTGGGGTTTAGGGTTTGGGGTTTTGGGGTTTGGGGTTTTGGGGTTTGGGGTTTGGGGTTTGGGGTTTGGGGTTTTGGGGCTTGGGGTTTGGGGTTTGGGGTCAGGGGTTTGGGGTTTAGGGGTTTGGGGTTTGGGGTTTTGGGGTTTGGGGCTTGGGGTCAGGGGGTTTTAGGTCCAGGCGTTGGGTTGCAGAGTTGTAGGGTTCCAGTCAGGTTTGGGGCTGGAGGTTGCCACAAGACTTTCCGTGTTGGCGGTTCAGGGCTGAGGGTTACAGGGTCTCGGGTTTTAGGGTTAAGTGTAGGGTTGTGCCGTTCTAGGCTTGGGAATTTAGGTGGGGGTAGGCTATGAAGGGTTCCAGGGTTCAGGGTTTGGGGCAGTCGGGCTGATTTAACGGGCTTGAGGTTCAGGTACCTCAGTCTCCAAGGGTTAGGGTTAGGTTGAGAGTTTCAGTTTTGGGATTACAGGGCTTGGGAGGCTTAGAGCTAGCGATGGACAGCTTCGAGCATCAAAAAGGGTTGGAGCTTCGAGCTTCAAAAAGTGGAACCGACCCCGGACAACCCTACAAACCGATACTTCACCCCGAAAACGCCTAAAACGCCATACTTGAGGCCTAGCCCTACACCCTAAACCCTAAACCCTAAACCCTAAACCCTAAACCCTAAACCCTAAACCCTAAACCCTAAACCCTAAACCCTAAACCCTAAACCCTACCCCCTAACCCCTAACCCCTAAACCCCTAAACCCTAAACCCTACACTTGCGTGTTTGAGGCTTACAGGGTCTTAGGAATTTCATGGGAGCTCAAGAGTCCGCGCACTCTCTCGACCCGCGAATTTCAACCCTAAGCCAAACCCCCTCTTAAAACCCTGAAGCCCGAGCCAGGGTTTAGGGTTTAGGGTTCAGGGCTTAGGGTTTAGGGTTTAGGGTTTGGGGTTCAGGGCTTCGGGTTTAGGGCTTAAACCCCAAACCCCACACCCGCTTGCGGGGTAGGTTGGGTCAAAGCCTGTGAAAGCCAGCCAGTAGGTCTCAAGCCGTCCTTTGCCGCACCGGTGTCCAGGAAAGCACCGTAGGAAGTGAGAGATTTCACCCATCCAGTGACCTGCATCAAGGTTTAGGGTTTAGGGTTCAATGTCGAAGCGCTGAATTTCTAGAGCAGACGGCGGGAGTAGCTATCACACTCTCTTGAATGTGGCTAAATGCCTCGTCTTGTTCTTAGTAACGCACATGAACTGATTAACAAGATTCCCGATGTCCCCACAACCCTCAGCCCTCTCTAGCGAGGCCACAGCCAAAGGGAACGCCAAAAAACCCGGCAAGACCTACAAAGCCCTGTAAGCCTGCAAACCCTGTAAACCGTAAACAGCCCAAAAGCTATATAAAGACTATACACCCTAGAAACCCTAAAAATCCTGGTAACCCTCCAAACCCTGTAAACCCCATTTAACCCAACAACCCGAAACCCCATTGTCATCCTCGACTGACAGATATACACAGCACAATCATGCAAGAATAGAAGCAGCAATATACTCAACCCGAAACTCGAACTAAAAGCCCTCTAAACCGATAAACCCTAAAAACATCCTCGCAACCTTTTAAACCCTACACCCTACACCCTACACCCTAAACCCTGTTTAAGTCTATAAACCCGAAACCCGAATCTAAAGCATTCGACAGCTCCAGCCGCTGCAGCGGGGCCTCCTCCCCCAGCGTCAGGCTGTCCAGAGGCACGCCTCGCCCTAAACCCTAAACCCTAAACCCTAAAACCTCCCCAAAACCCTGGGCTCTCCCACAACCCTGAAGTTCCCCTCTGAAACCCTGAAAAACCCAACCCAACCCGAAACCCTGAAATTTCACTCAACCCCTTACTTTATAGGGTTGATAGGTTGTTAATAAGTAGTTCATGAGTTTTTTAAACCCCTTACTTTATAGGGTTGACAGGTTGTTAATAAGTAGTTCATGAGTCGTTTAAACCCCTTACTTTATAGGGTTGACAGGTTGTTAATCAGTTGTTCATGAGTTTTTTGTGTTTTGTGGGATTTATCGGTTCATGAGGCTTTATGGCTGGAAGGGCATCTATAGCACCCGGCTCCTCTGGACCCTAAACCCTAAACCGTTGTACAGGGTCTTTGGAGTTTTTTTCTGGGTTCACAGGGTTGACCGGGCTTTTCTGGCATGTAGGGTTTATAGCATTTTTCCTTTTAAGGGTTTTCCCCCGAAACTTTCCCCCAAGCCCCCCCCCCCCCCCCAAAGCTTCCTTGCTCCCCGAAGCTTTCCTCAAACCTCCGCAGTTGCTGATAAACCCGATAACCCATTAAAAGCACTATAAACCTTAAAAAACCCTAGAAATTAAAGAAACTCTAGAAACCCCATAAACCGCTTTAACCCATTGTGGTTCAGGCCTTGCTTAGAGGGCCGCGGGCAGCTTTTCCACAGTTTTGAGAGTCCTGTGTCAGTGTGCTGCTTTACTTCGTGCTTACAATCCTACTGAAGATACCCATGAACCTGCAAGTAGGGTTCAGCTGAGGCTCCTTCCTCTACCCGCGGCTGTACCCTTGCCGGCTTCCTGCAAAAAATGTCCCCCTCCTTAGGTCTCTTTCCGTGGATCCTAAGAATCAGCACGTCACGCAGGAACCCTCCTTTACCCCGTAAACCCCTAACCCCTACAACCCTAAATCCTGGACCCTAAACCCTAAACCCTAGACCTAGACCCTAAACCCTAGACGCGAGACCCCAACCCCTAAACCCTAAACCCCAAACCCTAAATCCCTACACCCCAAAAACCTAAACCCCTAAACCCTAAACCCTGCACCCTGAAACCCTACCTGCCGGCCTCGCTGTTTGTACGACCTGCTAGGCTTCGAAGCGCTGCTGCCTCTGCGAGGGCTTCCGACGAAAGGCTGAGGTGTCTAAAACCATAAAACCTAACAGGGTTTAGGGTTTAGGGTTTAGGGCTAGGGTTTAGGGTGTAGGGTGTAGGGTGTAGGGTGTAGGGTGTAGGGTGTAGGGTGTAGGGTGTAGGGTTGAGGGTTGAGGGTTTAGGGTTTAGGGTTTAGGGTTAGGCTTCCCTAACATTGGATGGGAAAAGGAGGTGAAAACCTCCCTGCCCCCCCTACCCCCCCCCCTACCCCCAAACCCCCCACCCCCCACCCACCCCCCCCCCCCCACCCCCACCCGCCCTCCCCACCCCCCCCACCCCCCACCCCCCCCCCAACCGCGAACAAAATCACCAAACCCCAAACCTTAAACTTGTTCTCCTGCGGGGTCGGCGGCTTGAGCCGGAGGCTCTTAAATATAGTGTCTAGGGTTTATGGGCGCCCATATCCCCTGCATATGGCATATACGTATATACACCTACTATATACCCACATGTTGTCCTTCCCTTATGATTCGATCCCTTTAGCTTAGGCTTTCCAGTGACCGAAGAAGAAGAAGTACATACTTTTTGGGCTAGTCATCTAATATAGGGAACCCAGAACCCAAAAAAGCAAAAAAGGATACTGCCGAACAGCCTAGTTAAGAGCTCCGGACAATCATACAGACCCGGATGCTCCGGAGACCCTAAACCCTAAACCCTAAACCCTAAACCCTCAACCCTCAACCCTAAACCCTAAACCCTAAACCCTAACTTGCGGGATGGTAGAAAGTACATCCTCGAGTTTATTCCAAAAGGGGTTTTACGTTCGGCCTCGTCCGACGTATCGTGCGGAGCATACACCGCGAAGACAGGGACAGGACCCGAGCTGGATGCCACTGTGAGCTGTAGAGTGCGTGAGGCAGAGGTCAACTTATCTGCATCGGCCCTTTCACTGTCTAGGCACTGCCTGCAGTGACCGACCTGACGTCCATTGACAGGCACACACAAGACCTGGTTCCGCAGAATGGTCTTGTCGACCGTCTCAGTGGTGTTGCATGTAACCCTAAACCCTAAACCCTAAACCCTAAACCGTAGACTTTCATGGGCCTTCGAGAAACTGACTCAAGCCCCGCGCAGGTCAAAAACTTCAAGACTCAGGCTCTGGGTGTCTTCGGGCCCTTAGCGTCTTGGATTTAGGGTTAGGGCTGAGTGTTTGGGGTTGAGGCTGAAGAGTTAGGGGCTTGGGTTTTAAGGGCTCAGGGTTTTTGGTGGGGTTTTTAGGGTTTGGGTTCAGAGGGCTCTAGGGTTTATGAGGGTCTTGGGGTTTATGAGGCGGTTGTGTAGGGTTAAGGGTTGAGGGTTTGAGGCCTAGGGGTTTAGGGTTTGGAGGTTATGGGGCTTCTGGCCGGCGATTGTGGAGGGATCAGGTTTCGAACATAGGTTTAGGGTTTAGGGTTTCGGGTTGAGGGTTGAGGGTGTTTGAGGAGGGGGTCTAGGGCTCAACCCTACAACCCTAAACCCTACCACGCCTAAACCGTTGCAAGCCCTAAACCCCTAGAGCCCTACACATCCTGATCTCCTATAAGTCCCGACCCCCCCCCCCCCCACATAAAAAACAAAAAGAACCCTCATAAACCATGAACTCTGCAGCCCTAAACCCTAAACCCTAAACCCTACACCCTACACCCTACACCCTACACCCTACGGCCCTAAACCCTAAACCCCTGAAACCCGGTCTCCTGGGCGTCCCGCCGTATCCTGACCACTCCCTCTCCTCCTGGTGGTGGTACCAGGATTCTGGCTCCACCTGTGCACTCAGAAAAGGGGCGGGGGGCTGAATTGAAGAACCTTTAGGGCTAAGGGTTTAGGGTTCAGGGACCCTAAACCCTAAACCCGAAACCCTCAACCTTAAACCCGACAGGAGGGTTTAGGGAAAATTAGGGCTTTGGGGGTTTGGGGTTGAGGGTTTAGGGTTTAAGGTTTAGGGTTTGGGGTCCCCAAGAAGGACATCGCATACATGTTGCCAAGATTGACAAGGAGCCCAAGGACAACACACTCAGCAAACATATAGCCCTAAACCCCAAACCCTAAACTCATGGGTCCCTCTACCACCCCCCTCAAAACTGGGCTGGGGAGGGGGGGCGTATAGAGGAGGGTAGTAGGGAAACCCATGATAACCTTGAGCCCCAAACCCTAAACCCTAAACCCTAAACCCTAAACCCTAAACCCTAAACCCTAAACCCTAAACCCTAAACCCTAAAGCCTAAAGCCTGAACCCTATACCCCAAAACAACCGAAGCCGAGAACGCGAAAGCCTTAAACTCCGCGGTTCGTTTAGGGTTTAGGGTTTAGGGTTTAGGGTTTAGGGTTTAGGGTTTAGGGTTTAGGGTTTAGGGTTTAGGGTTTAGGGTTTTAGGATTTAGGGTTTGCCCCCTCCCCCTGAGTCCCCCAAGCCCAGCTCAAAAGCCCAACAGCCCCTATCCACGAAATCTAAAGCCCGACAGCCCCTCAAATCCTCTGAATATCTCAAGAGACCTAAACCCCAACAGCCTAAAACCCTAAAATCCCAAAACCTAAACCCCTATCACCCCAAAAAACTAAGATCCCAAAACCTACAAACCCAAACCCTAACACCCGAAGCCCGAAAACCCTAAACCCTAAACCCACAAAACCTAAGCCCTAAACCCTAAAACCCTATAAAACCCTATAAAACCCTATAAAACCCTAAACCCTAAAAACCCTGTGGAAACCTAAACCCTAAAGCCCTTAGAACCCTAAACCATACATCCCTCCACCCCCCGAGGCACTGAGACACAAACCTATACGCCCGAACGTGCCTGCGGCTCCCGCGCGGCGCGGCTGCTGCTGCTTGCCCTGGGCGTTTGGGGTTTAGGGTTTAGGGTTTAGGGTTTGGGGTTTAGGGTTTAGGGTTTAGGGTTTGGGGTTTAGGGTTTAGGGTTTAGGGTGGGCTAGTGCTTAGGGTTTAGCTAGGGTTTGGGGCTCATGTCCGGCTTGCTCTAGATTCTAATTCGGATGCTTTATTTAAGGGCCCCTAATTATTGAACCCATGAAGCACGAGGACGCACGTTGCGTTCATGACCCGGCAACAAAAACCCGATTAGCCAGGTTTATTCAATCTAATCTCAAGGCTTACAGATGTAGGATCCTCGGGTTCTGGGTTATTGCTTACCCCAAACCCTAAACTCCAAACTCCAAACCCTAAACCCTAAATTCTGAACCCTGAACTTTCGAGTTTTGGGACTTTTCGGATCCTGCGATGCGAGCAAACGTCACCCGGCTGGGCGCCCCAGCCAGACGCGTCGGGCAAAGGCCTGGGGTTTCCGGGGTTTATAGGGTTTAGGGTTTTATAGGGTTTTTAGATGGTTTTTGCATGGGGTGTTGATAGTGTTTTTATAGGGTTTATAGGGTTGATAGGGTTGACAAGGTTTATAGGGCTGATGGGATTGATAGGGTTTGCAGGGTTTGTAGGGTTGATAGGGTTGATAGGGTTGATAGGGTGTATAGGGTTTGTAGGGTTGATGTTTACGGGTAGGTTTTTGGTTTGGGGGTTTGGGAGGTTTAGGGAGGAAGGATTTAGTGGGGGCACGTGGGATATAGGGATACTCTGGGTCTCAGGACTCGGGAGGATTGAGAGCTGCGAAGCCCCCCCCCCCCCCACAAAAATAAAAAAAACAAAAACAAAGCCCAAACCCCAGACCCAAGCACCTTCAGCATCCAAGTTCTCGCGAGATTGCCCAAAACCCAAAACCCTCAGACCAGGAATTCCCAACGAACCTCACCGCCCTTCTACAATGAAAAGCACCGTCCCCTGGTTCTTAGTAGGGAATGAGGAAATGAGGGCGCTATACGTACCCTTAAAGGGATTATTCAGGGCCCTCCTCCCCTCATTCCCTACTAAGAACCAGCCAGCTTTTCTGAAGACCCTTAAGCCCTTAAAAGCCTTAAACCCTTAAACCCCTAAATCCTTCAAACCCTGAAAACCCTTAAACCCTTAAACGGATTACCAGCCAGAAGAGCAAACCACACTCAAGGAAGGGGGGGGGGTGGATTAGTGGTCGAGGGCTCGAATGAGGACCTCCCAGGTCGCAGTACTGGGTTTAGGGTTTAGGGTTTAGGGTTTAGGGTTTAGGGTTTAGGGTTTAGGGTTTAGGGTTTAGGGTTTAGGGTTTAGGGTTTAGGGATTAGGGATTAGGGTTTAGGGATAAAGGGTTTAGGGTTTAGGGTTTAGGGGGACTGTCGCTCCCCATGAATGCCCTACCCCGCCCCTGCCTCGCCCAACATGGCCGAAGATTGGGCGTGACAGAGGGTTTAGGGTTTAGGGTTTAGGGTTCAGAGGTTTGGGGTTCAGTTTAGGGTTTCAGGGTTACTGGGTTTGAGTTTTTGGTTTTGGAGTATCCCTCCTTGTAGCTACGACTAACCATTGCTCAGTAGGAGCTGCCACTATCAAGGGGACCCAATCCTAAACCCTAAACCCTAAACCCTAAACCCTAAACCCTAAGCCCTAAACCCTAAACCCTAAACCTGCGTTTAAGGCTCTGGAGGCTTTTCGGGTTTGTTTAAGGTTTGGGGCGTTGTCTTCGAGACTCTGAAGCTACCTCTGGTGGATGGTAAAAGCTGCAAATTTAGGTGTGGAAGCCCCTAAACAATGTTTAAAGTGGGCTTGCTTCCCCTATGGCTTGGGCTTAGGGTTTAGGATTTAGGGTTTAGGGTCTAGAGTTTAGGGTTTGGGGTTTAATTAGGGTTTAGGGTTTAGGGGGTATAGGGGTTTTGAGCAAGGAGCTTTCCAAGCTTTACGAGGCGGGGGGGCGGGGGAGGAATGGACCACGGGCCGGGCCTCCGGAGCTCTAAGCCATAGGTTGTCCAGTAACCTAGGATTAAAAAGACCCTAAACCCTAAACCCTAGACCCTAAACCTTAACCCTAAACGGGTGCCCTTTTAGGTATAGAAGGGAGCCTAAAAGCCCCACATGGGGATAAGGGTACTGCTGGGCATCCTAGAACCCCGGCGCTCCCTTCTCATACTGTTTTACTAGTATTTCGGTCAAGGAACTAATCCAGGGTTTAGGAATCAGGGTTTAGGGCTCTGTGGATCTATAGTATAGGGTTTACTACTTTTTGCTGAACAATCCAAAAAAACAACCATTAAAATCCCTCGCGTAGAACCCCAAGACGTAAACACAATAATCCCTCTGTGGCCCTTATAGGGAAGAATGTTGCTGTTTTGATTTTTTTTGGGGGGGTCGTTAACAAATAGGAGTTCAGGGTTTCGAGCATGCCAGCGTTACGGGGTTAGGGCATTTTCGGGTTAAGGGTTCAGTGTATAAGAATGACAAGAACGCAAAAATTGCAATGGAATGGGTTTAGGGTTTTGGGGGAGCTTTTGCAGCAGCCGAGGACGGAAGAGGGGGAGTATGTGTGCTTAGGGTTGTGTTCAGAGGTTCGGATGGATTGCACCCTAAACCCTAAACCCTAAACCCTAAACCCTAAACCCTAAACCCTAAACCCCAAACCCCCACGAATCAGCTTCTCCTGTAGCTTCTGCCTTTGCCCTTTTCGAAGCGCACGTCGAACACCCACTCAGAAGTTTGACCACTGCCGTTGCGGCTCTGGCAAGGCACCCGTGTCTCTAGAGGGGAAGCTGGACCTCAGGAAGAGCCAGCGCCAGGCGCGCCAAAACTCGTAAGACTCATAGAGCTTCATCTACGCTTGCTACAATCGCAATGCTCATAACCCTGATGCGAGCATAGTACTCATAGTTGCAGTCTTCATCATGATCAAATGGGCATTTACAATATTAGTATGGGCATTTACTAACATAGGGGTACCCCGAACAAACACCTAAGATACGATAACCCTTCGAACAGGAACCCCACCAAAAAGGAGAGACCACTCGCACTATTAACAATGGACATAACATGGCAATAGCGGTAAGAATGTCCCTGACAAGAATAATCATCACAGTACACAAAGAAAACATGAGTACAGGATGTAGAGTGCAGCCAACCCACCCCAGAGTTGAGGGTTCAGGGTTGAGGGTTTAAGGTTCAGGGTTTAGGGTTTGGGGTTTAGGGTGGGAAGAAAAGCGTAGTGCTGAGGGTTTCCGCAAGGTCCAGGGCTTCGGGTTTGGGGCACAAGGCTCAGCGCAAGCTTACCCCACACCCCAAACCCCAAACTCCCCAAACCCTAAGCGGTTTCGGGCTCGGGGTGTCTTGGGATATCGCCTTTAGGGTCATGGCAGAGGTTTCCTTCGGTGGAACCGCACTTCAGAAAGTATCCATAAAACTCCCAAGTAGCGTTTGGGCTTTCAGGGGGTTTAATCTGGATCCGCACACTTGTTAGGGCAACGACTGCCCTAAAAAGCCCGAGGGTTGGGTTTGGGGCCCTAGCCAAATGAAGTTTCTGCGTTCTGTTTTGGGCTTAGGGCTCAGGGCCCATAGAACCACAAGGTTTGTTCCGGCTCAACCCCAACCATTTCTCCCTAAACCCTAAACCCTAAACCCTAAACCCTAAACCCTAAACCCTAAACCTCAGCTATGATGGGCTTCCTGGTCCAGCGATGGCAGTCTCTGCCGGATGCATTCTGCAAGCGGCAGAGGCCGAGGCGGGCAACTGATTCGGACAGGTTTAGGGTTTAAGGGTTAGGGTTTAGGGTTTAGGGCTTAGGGCTTAGGGCTTAGGGTTTAGGGTTTAGGGTTTAGGGTTTAGGGTTTAGGGTTTAGGGCTTAGGGCTTAGGGCTTAGGGCTTAGGGCTTAGGGCTTAGGGTTTAGGGTTTAGGGTTTAGGGTTTAGGGTTTAGGGTGTAGGGTTTAGGGTTTAGGGTGGTTCCCAATACCCTGAAAACCCTAAACCCTAAACCCCAAACCCCCCCGGGGGGGGGGGGGGAGGAGGCTGGCCGGACTCTCATCTATGCTTCTGACTCTTGGCTCCGGCGGTTGCAGGCGGCGTGTCTTGAAACGACAGACGCCACTGGCATCCTTGACGGTGTAGGGTTTAGGGTTTATGGGGTTTAGGGTTTAGGGTTTAGGATTTAGGGTTGAGGGTTTAGGGTTTAGGGTTTAGGGTTTAGTGTCATGGTCTAGCCGTACTCATACGTGCCCACGAACGACTCGTACCCATGAACTTCCCTGTCTGATTTGCTAGCCAATTCACCAGCGGCCTGCCCGAAGGTTGTCGCCCTTCATCGTTGCCACAAGGGCGGCTTCACACAAAACAATCTGCTGCTCGTTTCTCAGCCAGAGATTGCTGGGAAGGATTTGGAGGGTGGCCAAGAAAAAACCACATTCCACAGGGTATATGGAGCCTGATAAGGATTAACGCCCATAGTACTCTCCAAATCAACCGCAGTTTCGAAAAACATTCCATCTGTGCAGCGCAGGTGCTTGTGGTGTCTTGGTCTCCCTTTCTGGGAGAGCTCAATCGCCACTTGGGGGAGGGGGTCCCTTTCAACCCTACAACCCTACACCCTGAACCTTAAACCCAAGTCCCTCGTTTCAAGGTGAGTATGTGCAAGGAGTTCCGGGCCTCTAGAATGAAACGCTTTGGGGAATTACTGCACGTTGTGACTACATGATTCTAAGAAAATGATATTGGTGATTGCTGAGGCTCAAGTGTTCAGTATCTGGACGCGCCTCTACAACGTCAGCAAGACAATCCTCAACCCAAACCCTAAACCCTCACTTAGGGCTTAGGGCTCAGTTTGGGTTCAACCTTAACCCTTTACCCTAAAGCCTAAACCAAAAACCCGAAACCCTAAGCCCTAAGCCCTAACCCTAACCTCTGTATCAACAGCGAAAGTTGCGAGCATGAGGCCCGGCAGGTGCTATGTTGTTGAGGGTTTAGGCTTTAGGCTTTGGGGTTTAGGATTTAGGGTTTAGGGTTTAGGGTTTAGGGTTTAGGGTTTAGGGGAACATGCACAAAAGCGGTTTCAGGAATTCAGGGTTTCGGGCTTGGTGCCGAAGAGGTAGTATATTCTACTTCAACAAAAACAAAATATTTTCAGATTTTCCTTATACGGGTAATATGGGGATTATCATTCTTCATTTTTAGGGCGCTTTTAAGCAAATAGTGGTATTCTTTGGGGGGGTCGGAGCCCTTCGCCAGTGGAGAAGCACCTGCGCCAACTCGCGGTTGTCGCGATCTGTTCCCTTTCGTTCGCCTGTCTCGTACCGAGGGCCAAAGGCCAACCAAAGGAGTTCAAGTGAGCTGCAGTTGGGGGCGTCCTTCGGCGCTTGAGCACTAAACCCTAAACCCTAAACCCTGATCTCTAAACCCTAAACCCCCTAAACCTGAACCCTGATCCCTGAACCCAGGGT